CTGTCTCTACTCGTACTTCTCTAGCGCTCTCGGCGCTCACATTATCTCATTATCTCCCTGCCGGCCTTTTGAACTTCTCCGCAGCGTAGAGCAAAAGGCTCGTATTTCCTGTGTATTTCACGATTTTTTTCCTTTTTTCTCCACTGGCGGTCCACTTCCCATCCCTACTTCACATTTGTGGAGAATTACCTCATCAATTTAATCCTGAATCTTGCCTTTAAAGATTATGAACACTAGGATGCATACTTTCTCAGACATTTCATGAGAACTGGTAAACCCTGTGACAAGTCATCCTTATTCAACTTTGAAAAATTCGAAATTCCTACCAGTGAATGATTTGTTTAAGATCGCTTTCGAAGTTGTTGCCCCGTCGATTCCTGGCTACGGATGGTCTGACCAACCAAAACGATCAGGTGACATCCCCCTGTCAAACTTAGTCAATATTATCAAAATCCAGGTTTCCATACATTCCAGGCTTTAGCCAGGTAGCATGCGCTCGGGTTTTCCGAAAGCTGATGGAGCGGCTCGACATCAAGAAGTTTTATCTGCAAGGAGGCGACTGGGGAGCGCTAGTCACTAGCAATCTCGCTAAACTCTACCCAGCTCAGTAAGTGTGCTGTCTTTGTGTCTCCAACTGTGATATGAGAGAAGCCCGTTGTTCTTTCTTGCAGGGTATTCGGCCTTCATTTGAACATGCTAGCAGCTTTGCCCGATGCTTCGTTGAAGGTGGCAGCACTCGAAATTTTCGGATCATTTTTTCCAAAGGTATCAAATATTTGTGATACATTATAGATCTCTCAATAGCCTCATAATTCGTTGTCTCTTAGTGGGTATTCTCTTCTGCTTCTCACCACAATTACAATTTGTTCGCAACGATGGCGGCTATCATCACTGAGAGCGGGTACATGCACATTCAGGCAACTAAACCAGATACTGTAGGTTTGTCAATTTCCAATTGTTCTATGGTGAATCTGTAGGGGATTCTGGAATGATTCCTTTGGGTAATGACTCTGAAGTTTTTCACAGCAATAGAACGCAAAGACGCTATTACAACCGTGGGTAATGACACTTTCAAGGAACTGCGCTTAACGATTCTCCAATCGGACTGGCTGCTTACATCCTAGAGAAGTTCTCCACGTGGACAAATTCAGACCATAGGGCACTGGCAGATGGAGGTTTAACCAAGTATGTAATCTGTTCATTTTATTTTTTATTTTTGTATACTAATTGTAGGTATTCAAATATCATAAACCGTCAAAATATTTCTTCATACAGGTGAAACTTGATGGAAGTGATTTGTTCTAATGTTTAGGAAGTTTACTCGGGATGAGCTCTTAACAATTGTGATGATTTATTGGCTGAATGGAAATATAGTCTCATCGCAACGATTTTATCGCGAATTCTTCCTGGACGATCGGAACAGAGCTTTACAGAAGTATGTCATTATCAAGATATTCCATAAATTGAATACTCCTGTGAGGCGCACGCAATTCAGCATTCGAATGTAATATTAGAGAGGTGTTGAAAAGATCGCTATAGTTGGGAGTAATTAAAGCGATAGGCTTTTACCTCCCTTGTCAAGCATTCAACTTGCTTCTCAGTTTTCTGTTTCCCTTTCCATTATTCTCTCGAACCTAGTTCACAAAGGATTGTGACTTTCGGGATGGATGCTTCAAAGAGTAGCATGCATCAAGTCGAATTTGCGCGGATTCGGAATATTTCGAAGTTTCTCCTCGAAATATTCCGAATTGGAAATGTTTTGAATTTTTGATTCATTACTGGCGTAGAATACGCATTAAGCTCGATACAATTTTATAAAAATGGACATTTGAATTATTTCAGCTCGGAAATTCTCCTTTGTTCGAATGCATCTTTTTAATTTTTTTCAGTCGTTATCGTAAGGATCTTAACCGGATGAAAATTGAAAACATCCTGTGTGCATTATAGGACGCAGCGCTTTTTCCGTTATATCCTAAGACCGCCACTGGAACAGCCGCTTCGTAACAAGGCGGGAAAAATTCCGCCGAAGAACCACCCACCCTCTTTTTACGGTGATCCCCACATGATCCCCATTCCATTATTTCGGGATGCTGCGGAGAATATTTCCGGAGGAGTTGCGATCAAATTTTAGCGCGTGGTTAGAGTAGAGCCTTCTGTTATACAAGAAGGGAAGGGTGCCCCTCCTTTTCAATCAGTGTTGTCTGCCCCCTCGTTTAATGCCGAATTAAAAACAAGATTACAGCTTTCATAGTTCTACGATCATGTCGTCCAGAGTTCGGAAGTTCTCATTGTTGCTGAGTCACAAGAGAAAATTTTTCCTCGAGACACGCTTTTATTTCCTTTTCATGAGCTAACTCCCTCAGAGTGTTCTTTGCAAATTCATGAGAAGATGTGAATCACTTCAATGTTCGCATTTTCACATAAACCCTCATCACGTTTTTACGAATCGGTGATTAGCAATTCTGTAAAATACACTGGTGTGCAAAACTTAAGGACCAGATAGATAAATTGTCCTAACTTATTAACAATTAGATGGAATTGGATGAAACTGTACGGGCATAATGCTAGAAGCCCTACAGTCATGGGCACCGAAGTGGGCCTCATATGTCTTGCATCCGGCTTCAATCTGGAGCCTAAATGGGGTGGCCACCCAGAACGATGGGTATCGTGGGGCAGGACAAGAGGGGTGAACTAAGCAGGGAGAAGTGACTGTGGAATGTAGTGGTGTTCTTGATTACATCAAGTCTCAGAGACAACACTAGGGTGACTTTACGCGAGGAAGAATCATTGGGAAACTGAAAAAAGGAAGTTGTGTCCAGGAGTTTTGTGTCAACCACAGCATTGTTTTTTGTGCATGAGAAGCAATGTGGACCGCAGCCACTGCTGTCCCAAGAAGAGGAGGTTGTGGGTCACGAACAACCGCAGCAGCAGGTGATTGCTAGGTTTTGCTACAGGCAAAAATGGACCCACGTCAGTCACATGCTGCAGTTGTCTGTCGTCATCTCTGCTGCAGTTGCAAAAACATTTATCAGGATTGTAAGGCATGTAATCCCAGTCCGGACAGTGGCGCAGTGACCGCCTAGGAGTGATCTCTCTCATCGATCAACAATACCTGTATTCATTTGAAATCCACGCCTCGGCTGGGACATTTGGTACGAGCCGAGACATTGGAGATGGACCACCGAATTGAAAAATCGCGTATTCTTCCCGGTCAAGAGCAAACTGAATGTGAGTAGTGATTCTGGACTTACCTGCATATGGGGAAAATAGGAACGTGTAATCTACCCAGGACCATCGTTTAACATGATTGTTTTGGTAGTGCATGCGACATGATGTGGGGAGGCATAAAGTTGTCGGGGCGTACTGATCCCCAACTCATGATCGCGTTACACTTTCTGATCAACGTGATTGTGGTGTTGTACCCTTCTGTCATGTGCATCTTTCCAAGGGTTCCCTTGCCCTCAGCTTCAATCGTATGGAGGGCAGTGTGCGAGAGTATCGAGCAGCCTGGGTGGAAAACTCTTGAAAAGTGAGGATTTTCGGTAATTGGTGAAGCCATTTATTTCCTCCAGTCTAATTCTATGGAGCACGTGTGGCGTGGATTCAGATGAGCTATTGTAGCACATGACCATGTGCCAACAATAGTCCTGCAGTTGTCAATCGCGGTCTCCAAGGAATCGGTCACTTCTCCTCAAGAACTCTTAACTAATCTTACGGCCTGTATGGGAACACGTAGCAGAGCATACCTTGCAGTCCGTAGTGTTCATACACCCCATCAAGAACTAGCTCCTCTCTTTTGAGTGTCTACCATGAGTTGGAGAAGCCTCACCTATCGACCGCTTCAGACAGGGTATTTGCAGAAAAATGTCTTTTCCAATCGCCCCTTTGCGCTTTTCTGTTAGTAACTCTCTGCACTGTACCGCAACATTTACTTCTATATATGTGCCAAATTTGGTCCACCTAGGTTAACTAGCAGTGAGATATCATGTGAAAGTTACTTCCGTCCTTAAGTTTTGCACACCAGTGTAGTTATTTTCGAGTGAAAGTAATAACTTCAAAATCCACAAAGGCAATAGTAATCCTCCGCAACTAGAGTTTCGGCTCGAGACTAGGTCAAGTGCTTGTGGTGGCGAGGTTATATCACGGTCAAAAATCGCTTCTTAAGGGTCTAATCTAGACGAATACATTGAAAACAAAATTACCTTTACGAGGATGGGGCATGCAGGCCAGCTACCACAGCTGCAAAACGCCGAAGGAAGGCTAGCTGATTGAGGCTCGCAAGAGGCGAGAGATAAGATAGGAATGGGAACATGGGGGGGGGGGGTGATGCCATTATGAGTGGCAGAAAGTCCTTTTGCTGTGCGTGAACATGGGCACAGGCAAAGTCCAAAAAGAACAGGGATGGACCGAAGAAGGGACAACATGTATGGAGAGCGCATGGACGACGAGCGCGCCTGTTAACTTTAAGGCTACGCAATTACGCAGTTGACTTTAAACGCCAAGCGGGCTTACACTGTTCGATTCGACTGTCACTGAGGAACTATACTCTCAGATTTCCTCATTTCGGTTTAGGATGTTGATGTTTTTTCTTGTAAGATGAGGTCTCAAAGTTTCTTTTGTTTCATTCACTCATTCGAAATTAGCCATCGCCAGTGCCCCGCCCAACTCCCCTGTCACAGTACTGCCTATTTTTTAATTTATTTGATTTATAGAATGGCAAGTGTGCGCCGCAGCACGCCCGGTTCCATTTCAGCGCTGAACCGGTGTTTATCCTCTAACATTACGGAGTTTGGGATGTTTAGCGTCCACCTTCGACAGAATTCTTCCTGAGTTGCAGACGTCTGGTGTTATTCTTAACCAGTAGTCGGGATGGATCACTACTGTCGCACAAGACGATCGCGGCCGCTTCTGGTTCTCGAATTTTGAAAAAAGTTTCTGTCATATTACATTACACTCCTTGCATTTAAAATTTTTATCGACACTTTTGCTATAACTGCGGAACACTTCTTTCTCGGAACACTTCTCTCACTTCTCTCACCTGAGCCTTTTCTACGCAGATAATCTCCATGAAGGGGCTACTGTGAAATCCTTGTCTCAGAATCGAAAATGGAAGGTGACTGTTGTACACTATTGCTACTGATTACGGCAAGCAAAGGTTGCCGCCAGTGTACTACTATTTCGCTCTCCTTCCATGTCAGACTAAAAGTATGGCAGCAGCATGATTATCAAATGGGGTTGGCTCTGCCCTCACTGTGAAATTAGCAAGATAAGGGGATTCAGGATCACCAACCAATGAACTTTTCAACTCAATCAAGTTCCTTATTCAGGCAGTATCTTGCCGTTCCGACTGCACACTTTTCTGCATTGAAAGAGTATCGTTCGACAGGACGCCACCTGAGGTGAATTTTGAGTGTGTTTAACAACAACATGGAAATTTAGTTGCTGGCAGCGCCAGGAATCTGATTTTGAGCAAGAGGAGCCTTGTCCATGAGAGTCTGTGTCAACTGTAAAAGCCTATGCCTTTCAGATCTCTTCCGTGCTGTACAATCTCACTCACTACACGGAAGCAGAGGATGTCGGACATTTTGCTGCCTTTGAAATGCCTCGTCCGCTTGCTGTTGATATTTTTGATTTTGTAAAGAAACTAGAGCGCTAGAAATTTAACTTTATTTACCCACAGTACAAATGATATGATGTAAAGGCAACAACTATCACTTATACTATTTCATACCTGTCTCAGCTTCTATTGTATTGATACGTACTACTATCATTCTCCTGTAATATTATTGTATTAGTTTTTACATGGTCTGTAATGTGAGCAGATTTTCCGCGCGGTAAAAGTTGCTGAAATTGATTGTTAATCCATTACATCGGAGTGTGTGCCACATTGCTTTGAGGCACGGCGTTATAACATTCATATTAAGTTTTTTTCCTAATAAGAACGCCTAATATTCCATTGCTGGTAAGAATGTTCAGCAACTGAAATCGCGAAATTGACTGGGCATGAAATATGGGTCGGTTTTTTTTTCATTTAAAACATATAGTAGCAGAGAATTAAAGACCCGGTGTATGAACTCATGTTACGAACCAAATCTATTCGTTTTTTGTTTATGAGCACGTAATCAGCCAAGAAATTCTGTTGTCCTGTTTTGTAACCCAAATTTGTTCGCCCCAGATGTTCCTATATTTTTTTGTCTGCCTAACAAAGGTGTACTTTGAATATCTTGTCCGGACCGCATACGTTTAACTATAATTTTGGATAAAAACCTTCATTTTTGAGAACACTGAATACGTGTTCAACACCTGAATTGGGTGCTGGACCGTTCAGTGATCAAGCTAGTATTTTTTGACTTATTTTGTCGAGAATATTTTGGACTATATTTTGGAGTTAATGTGAAACTTGATATCAGTGCAAAATTTCGTATTAGTGTATTTAAATAAATTTTTCTATCTCATCGAAATGGAACGCATACTGAAACAAACATGGCATACGTTACGATAGCACTCCTTGCTACTCCAGGATCACGTTTGCTCGAGCAGAAAAACACCGCAGAGCAGAATCTCATGCAAAGCCCCATGATCAAAAACAATTTATCAAAATAATCCAATTATTCATTCTGAACAACTTGTTACAGATTATAAGCTCTGGAATACCAACTGACTCCACTGCTGCTACGTTTGACTTCCCGTGTTCGCTCAAAGTCCGGGATAAAATGTAAGGTGCCAGTATCGGTAGATGGCCTGCAAAAATATAAATTGTATTAAAGGAATCCTTCGCGGAAAATTCTTGCATTCTTTCTTGACATGAATGTGTCAGTTGTGATCACAGCACACAAAGTTTCACGCATGAAGATTCGGTTTCCGAAGAGAAACAAACGTACAAAAACTACACTCTATGGACAATCGAAGGTAATTCGGGCGGAGCCAAAGGCGAGGCATGGAAAGAAGTTGGCCTTTGGCCGGCTACGTATCAGGCGACGCAATGAAAGAATCGGCGCGCGATTTCGGAGAGTAGAGACAAATCGATCGATAGAATAGGATGGAGTAGAAGTGTGATGTGAATGCAATAAGTCAGAAGGCCAGAAAGAGTTTCTAGTGAAGGCACTCCAAGAACCAAGTGGAAGCATCCCCGTCGCCAGCATTTGTGAAAGACGTCCGTGGGCACTTTGAACGCGTAGCAGCCCTTTCGATTTTTCGAATTTTTTACCAAAACAAAGCAATATTTCTGTTCTTTTCATTCTTATCGTGGATAATGAGTCTCAAGCCAGTGATTTATGGCTGAAATATTAGTCGTCCCAAAGTTCTTGCGTTTTTCGACCTTGATTTTCAA